TTTTTATGTATTTTTTATTAAAAAAAAAACTAATTTTTTTTTTCTGTGATAAAAATTAAAAATATAATACATTCATTTATATTTAAAAAATTGTGAAAAAAAAAAAAAAAAAACCTGTTTGGTATTATACCAAAAATTCAACACCCAAACCCTACCACCCAATCCCACTAACCACCCAAAACCACCACCCAACCCCAAATCCCACAACCCAACCCCACTGACCACCCAAAACCATCACCCAACCCCAAATCTCACCACCCAACCCCACCACCAAAACCCACCCCACCACCACAACCCCCGAAACCCACCCCCACCAACGAGATCTGAACAACATCATCATAGATCTAAAAATAAATGAAAAATTTTGCGGAGAAAAGGGAGCTTACCGCTTCGCCGGAGATAGAGGTATTCGCCGGAGATAAAGGTCTTCGCCGGAGATGGAGATGTCGCTGCAGCTAGAGGAGCTTGTTCCCCGGAGTTGGAGACGTCTGCGGAGCTAGAGCTTGTTCGAAGAAATGAGTGAAATTCATTTTGCTTGGCATTTACATCGTGTATATCAGCTGAGTGAAATTCATTTTGACGTCGTTTATATCGGCCGTAGACTCGGAGAGCACTAAGACACATCAGTCGCAGCGTCGCAACTCTGGCGTCGCAATCGCGGCATAGTAAAAGACTCAAAACGTTACGTAGAAGGTTACAAAAAAAATTATAATAAATGTAAACATTATTATCAATGTATTATATTTTTAAAAGATATTATTTAACATATTAATCATTACAAAAAAGAATAATAAGGATGCTATCAAAAAATATTTATTATCATTTCTATTCAAGGTTAATAAAATTTAATTTGTAATTTTTAAAAATTATAAATGTATATATATGGTTAACTTAATAGTTTTAAAAATGAAAATTTATTTATAAAAAAAATCTTCATTTAATTATTTATTATGTGTCTAATTAGATCTATTATATGTATGTATATTTTATGTATGATGATTATATATATTTTCTCCACTATGTACATTTAATTATTAAATGATCAATATACATACAAAAACAAACTTAAGAAGTTAAGTTCTAAGTAATTTATATAAAAAATATTAGAAATTATATAATTAAAAAAATTGGGACAAAAACAAAAAGAAAGGGGGGGAAATAAATTTTTGGGTCTGATAAAGCCAAAGCCTCACTCTTCGGTCTTCAACTCTCAACTTCGACAACCACATAGGAGAGAGAGAGAGAGAGAGCATAGAGACGATGAGTCTCTGCTACTCGGGACTCATCGGGAAGGCTGGGTCTTCTATTATCGAGTAGTCCGATCGTCAAGTAGCCTAGGGTCTACGATGTTGATCGATGAACTACGAAGAAGATGGAAAGTAAGAACCGTGAAGAAAAAGAAAAGTTCGATCTGCGATGTTAATCGATGATATTGAGTCTCTGATTAGGGAGATTTACCACAAATTTTCAAGTTTGTATTCAATTTTGTTCTAACTTTCTTGTTTTATTTTTATTGTGGTAAAAGAGGTCTAATTTAGGGTTTAATTTCTCATCTTTTTTGCTTTTTTTTTTTAACATTTTCTTTTGTTGCTTGGACGATTCTGTGCGTATTAGTTCGATTTGAAAGTAAATCGGCAGATTTTGTCTGAGTTTTTCCGAGTTGGACGAAGTTGAATCCGAGTTGGCCTGATTCAGAACCGATTCATGATAGACCCGTGATAGTCTTGTATCGTGTATCGTTATCGGATCAACGCCTGCCGAGGCGGATACGACTCGGCCGAGTTGTATCTGACTCGACCGATACTTTGAACCTTAATTTACATGGTACCTTAATTCATTAACCCACTTTTTTTCTTGCAGATGATTTTATTAATAGGCTTGTAGAATTCTCTTTGTTTAGAATTTATAATTCTATTTATTTATTTTTCTTTTCTTATGTTTTTAGAAATTGAAATCTATTTTTATTATCTATTATCTTGATTTATATTTTTTTATGAATAGAATCGGGAGCTCTGTTTATCCCGTTTTTCTTAGTGAGTTAGAATCGAGCAACAATAAAATTGATCTTGCTGACGACGGTTTGCCTTTTCTCTATTGTGTTTATCATTGGTGATTGTTTTAACGTGATCTGAAATCATGACAATTACTCTTCCTCCAAGTAATTTAATATAGGGGCCTGAATATATTGTTGTGTTGTTTAGGTTTTGTATATATTTGTCGGGTGATGGATGAGTTCATGGAAAATGACATCCATTTGAATTAATGTTATACTAAAGAATATTCAAAAAATATTATTAGGGATTACTTGTTGAGTATTTGGGATGAAATTATCTATACTACTCTAAAATGTGTAGATATATGAAAAACTTTTAAATGCCAAAAAATATCCGTTTTAAATTTTTTAAAGACACTAATATCCCTTTTGTCAATACAAGTTAGGATTCAATTTAACTAAAAAAATTCTAATCTTCAAATTTACCCTCAAACTACTCTATAAAGGCATATGTGTAAGTTTGTGATTATCAATACTTTTAATAAAGATATAATGTAACTGATATCATTGACAACCTTTCATCTTCTTTTGACATTAAATTTATTTGTGTTAAGGAAGCTTAACCCAACGGAAGCCTTTATGGCTTCAAACTCATGGTCTTCTCTAGAAATTCTTTTTAAGTGGTTGTTTGATAGCAGGGTTAATAGCCAATCTGATGGCCGAGGCTGGTAAGTAATGTTTTCTTAAACATCTGCCAATAATGCTAATCAATTATTACAATATTATTTTTTATATTCAATTTCTCATTGTGGTTCTATGCATATCTCTGGTGAGCAATTTCATTATCATTGTGAGGCCTGTGACCATAGAAGCTTGGGCTAATTTGAGCGTGATCGGACATTTGGAATGGATTTCTATTCTGCTTAATATGATTCAACATAATTTTGATTTGTTGATATGAAATGGACCACGATAATTTCATTCATTATAGACAATTTAATCCTATGTATTTTAACAAAAGAAAGTAAAAGAATTTTAAAGCTCTAGAAGTTTAAATTAACTTGACCTCGTTATTATAAAGTTTATGGGTAAGCTATCACTGAACAAAAATGGCAGAGGAAAAACAAAATTAACAACTGTCATGGTTTCCCGCACGCTCCACGTAGCTTAAATGACTTTTAGAAATTAAGCATTGCATTCTTATAATAACTCATGTGTTTCTTGCTCATGACATAATAGCATTGCATCCATTTAGTGGATGCAAGGATTGAGCAAGGAACACATAAGCATTGCATTCTTATAAGTCTTTTTTTTTTTTGTCAATATTCTTGAAAGTACCAGTATGGTCATTTACTTATAAATTGATCAAGTAATATTTTACTGTAAAAATAATACAAAAAAATTATAACCCGAAATAGTACACGTGCAACAGACGTGTACATTAACTAGTTTAATCTAAATGCCAACAGGTGGTACACATATAGTTTTTCAATTCGAATGGAACATCATCCCAATAAAAAGATCGAGTTAATGGGTAACATGATATAATATATTATAGACTCGTTTGATTGCCGTATTAGAAATAGATAGACTAGATATAGTAATTTAGTCTAATACAATACAGATAGATAAAAGACAAAATTAAATAGGTTATTAGAATAATATGTAATTTTATTTAGTGTTTGTCAATATATAACATAAACGTTGGATAATAGTTATTTAATCCAATCAGTTATTTGGTTAATGAATTATTTCATTGTATTAGTATTAAATTAACAAAAATAACTTCTATCAGTGTTTGTTACATTGATGACAACTTAATTTTATCAATTGAGGGGTTATAATAGTAAATGTGTAAAATAATACATTTGAGTGAGATTATAATACCACATTTATTGGTGATATTAAAATATATTCATAATATAAGTTTATCGTATAAAAAATATACGATAAATATACGATTAGGATACATTTTTTAAATTAATACAGTATCAAATTTGTTTACTAAACAAATTTAAATATTTCATCTTTATAATTCAAAAAAATTTTCAGCCACTAATGTTCATTAAATAACTCTTAATTATATAGTTTCATAACATCTTCGCGTCGTGTTCAAGTCAATAAAAAAATATTTTTCAAAGTTTAAAAAAAATTATAAAATATCTATTTTTTGCCTACAATACTCTTTAAATAGCTATTTTATGTCTACAGTTACATACGAATCTTTTGACTGTCCGATCAATTAAAGTTAGATATTAATAACACAATTATATACAAAAAATAGTTATTTAACGAGTATTATAAAAAAAAAAATATTTTTTAATTTTTAAAAAATACTAAACAGTATTATGGGAATTGTCTAAATATAAAATATATGTCACAACGCAACTAACTCGACATAAAAATATTTTTTCATTGACTTGAACATTATATGAAAATGTTATGACACAATACAATTGAGAGCTATTTAACGCGCATTAATAAACTTAATTCTTTTTAGAACATAAATGTTAAATATTTAAACTTTGAGGGGTCTAACTTATAATTAAACTTTGAGTGGCTTCAAGTTAAACACATTATACATAATTGAGTTCCTCATTACCACATGGTAGATGATCCACCAAGCGGAATATAAAATGCATGTCATACTTCATACCATTTGCTTAGTTCTGCTGCACCATAGTATGTCCTTTGCGCGCCAATTTTTAATCAATGTGCTCTCAAGGGAAATAAACTCGGTGAATTACAAGCACACTTTAAGAGCAAGAAACATAAATTTGACGGACTTGGATGTAAAAGCTAATGAGAACAAGCAATCTATTTGTTCAGAGAAAACTTTCCCGAGTTTTGACCAAGCAAATTTGCAAATATGCAAATATGAGCAAGCAATCCAAAGTTGTTAACAACGAAAAAGAAAGAGTGCATCCTACAAAAATCAATCTGAAGTAGCCTTTTGACTACTGCTCACATAAACTATTATGTCTCCAGAGCAAGTTGAACACCACTTTCATCTCATGGCGCCCTCCCGCAAAACATCTATCATGCTGTAGATGAATTTGTCCGCCTTTGATTGAACCTGAGTTCACACGACATTTCCAAATTCAGTCTAGTAACAGAAATTAACTTAACAGCCAGAGAAACTCGGAGCATTTGATAATAACAGCAGTTTTTATACATGTTATATTTTCTTTAATACTCTTAATTGGTTGCCAAAAGGCTATTGTATACCATTGATATATTTGGTGGATTATAGCTGGCAAATGTAACGTTGCAAAGGGCAAAAAGATGAGTATATAAAAGTTGTAACCAAAATAATGGTTAAATTATGTGAATAACTATTACTCGAGCGGTGCATTTTGAGGAAGCAAGCATTATCACCTTCTTAGCAAGGAAAATTGCAGCATCAACTGTACCCTCCGCATAGATTGATCTACCACAGACATTATGCTGAAACTCAAAAGAAATTCTGAAAAAAGGAAACACATCTAACATAGTTAGTGATGCTTACTAGGAAGACAAACAGAGAAGCACAAAAGCAATGGTTCCTAAATTACGTTTTATCAGGTGACTCCAGGTGATACATGTGGAATGCATGACCAGATAGGTACTCTTTTGGGACACCCACCATCTCAATTTGTTGCTTGGGATCTCGTATTTTTTTTACCTGATGAAATGTTAAATAAAGGATAAAGGAACATACATAACAGTTCTGATTTGATTTTTGCCATACAGCTTATGCAAAGAGGAAGGAAAGAGACAACAAAAAGGTTTTAGCCCCCCAAAAGGATAAGTCTCTACATGCCAACTTACATTACATGAGTACCAGCAAAAAAAATTACATTACGTGAGTTACTAGGATCCTATAGCTTGCTTTAAGGTCTAGAAGCAATGAACACTACTCACAACAAAGTATGCCATAACACACCTATCATGCTAAACCTTCTCATAAACCCATAATGAGACCCATAGTCCCTAAATAGTTATGGTATAACCAAAGGGGTGCAATTTTTTTCTCTGGATAAGGAACAAGTAATTTACTGGTGAATAATCAAATAAGAAGGATACAATAAAGGTGGACAAGCTGTACAACCAAAGCATAATAAATCAAAAGTCATGGAAACCAAACTAAAAATCGCAGAAAGCATTACACATTGCAAAAATACATAATAGAGGAGTTCCTTGAAACTCCTTAGTAACTAAGGCCCAAAAAGAAGCTAAAAAGTAACTCGTTTCCCACAAACAAGAACCACTCAAGATAGTTACCATCAATATATTTATGAATCCACCAAAATCTTGATTCAATGCTTGACCAAAGCTTTAAATGCAGACAGTAAGGTTAAGTTATTGGGTCTAGTTCCCTTACGATATGCTTAGAGGCCGAGAGAGTCTCCATATGAAGCCCAGTTCTAAAGACTGCAATATATTTTTGTCATTAGTTCCAACATGGGCATCAGCAAGGAAATTGAGGGATGAGTAGATGGTGACTGTTTTGGAAAACCAATAGGGTGTTGATCATGACCCAAAGAGATGATGTGGGTATAACGTTGTTCAACCTGTGGAAGTGACTTGAGATTAGAAGAATCAGAGCAAGAAGCAGAAGAACCAGCACGGCATTGGATGAGAGAGATGATTCTAAAGGCCTTAAATCGATGAGATTGGCCTGAAAGTCCGTGCAGCATGTAAGAAGGGACTCCACCATGGATTCGTCACCTGCAGTGAATTGTCTAGGATTGATATTTGTGACTTATGTGATGTCAATTGGTATTTTCTTCGAGTTTCTGGTTGCTTAATGCTTTGTTTCAATTTTACAGGAGGAATGAATTTTTGGATTTGTCACAGAAAAAAGTTTCTTGGTAACAAATCAAATGAAGAAGGCAAGTGTGGTGTCTAGTAACAGGGTAGCCAAGTACCGACTATATGATGGCACCCACACTCACTACATCGAGAATAGAACAGTTAGCAAACACCTCGCCCACCCTTTTCCTCAAGTAAAAAGGATCAGTTCATCCAAGTAAAACCACAACCTTCGACAAAGCTTCAGTTGCACTCAATTGCCCGCAATTTCAGCTGTACATAATCACAAACACCAGCACCCCCAGACAATTGAGCAAGACCAGACACACACACATACCCCCCACCACCCCATCCCTGGACGCCCAGACCTCGAACCTTCCCCTCCCAGGCGGAACCCGAGTTCCCCCCAACCTACATACAGATAACTCAGTAATACCTCCCACCACCGGTCACCATCACAGCCCCACCCATCACCATTGCACATGGCCCCAACACTATCATTCTTCAATTTTGTTGCTTTGTTTTTATATGACATATAGTATGTGAGAGTAGAGATAGAGCTTGGGGGCTTGTTGCAAGTGGAGCTTGTCACAGATTCATCAATACTGCAAGAACTCAAAGATCAGAAATCATCGTCTTTCTCTCTTCGAGACAACACTAAACCTGTGCATGTGTTTACAGGTGTATCGGCGGTGGTGGGTTGGGCTGAAGTTTTGGCTACGAGAGAGGAGACATTGACCGACGAAATACACACGCACAACACATATTTAAAATGGAGAATAGAAATGTAAAATGTCACTTTTCATTAGGGACAAATTTGTAGAAAGACATCGCCCATTTTCTGCATTGTCTGACAAGGGAATGTCAGTTTATTTTCAAAAATCAAGGGGTCGTCTTTGAAATTATATCAATCTACGAAAGATGTCAATGATATTTACCCAAATTATTATTAGGATATTTCAACAAATATTGACAAACCGAAACCTTTCAAGCATATAAACAGCGTCAAAATCCATTTACCCAAATAAATATTAAGTATTTCATTGATGATTCATTAGTCATTCTTGCGAAATGAAGAGAAAATCCGATACTACTATGTACTATCATGTCCTAAACACACTTAATCTACTTCAAATGATACCCCCAATTTTTGAAAGCATGAAATGACGGCTTTTAATCTAATTATAACTAATCACAGACAATTAAATGGAAATTTTTTGAAGTATGTTTTTTTTTCAATTGCAACAATCAAATCCTCCAAGTTTTCCATGTTTTTCAATCAAGTCCTTCCACTCAATTTGGAAAAAATTTTGTTACAGAAAGCCTTCACAGGCCCCGCACATGACCGAGCCATGCGCTAGTTTAGATCAAAAACACCAAAATTCTTCCAGCTTAGTTTGCCAAACAAACCTAACCGTGTTCCAAGACAACAAAAAACATGGTGTCAAACATTCCTAAACTTGTTGCCAAACAATCCCCACGACCCATGACTCCCCAAAACTCTTTCCCCAATTAGGACCCCCTCCCCCACCCAAAACCCTTCAATCTCCCATAACCACCTCCCAGAACCAAGCTAGAGCCCCCAAATGACAGTTAGTCTGTTCACTTGAAACAGAACAGGTCCCACAAGAGGCCAAGAAGCTCTTACCACAGCCATGTCTTTGGATCAACCATTGCCAAAGGTAAGCATTGTTCCATATCTAAAAATCAGAGATGGTCATGGTTCCAGGTATTGAATTCACTCATTTTTCTGTAGTAGGGATCATAATTTTCACAAAGAGAGTGTGTTGTGGCGGTGTGTTCTTGAAGGGTTCTTCATAGAGTGATCATAGGGAGGAGGGGTGAATTGAAGGTAGCATCTAAATTAGAAAATTTTTTACATAGTTTAGGCTTTTGGGTTAGGGAGGTTTATGGTGACTGGAGAAGACAGTGGTGGATGATCTGCATGGTGGTCAAATGTATTTCAGAGACAAAAATTGGCGGTGGGTTGGCTCACTGGATTGGCTCAATATGTTGACTCACTGATACTTTATAATCTTTTTCCATTTTATTTTGTAATATTCTAAATAACACAAAATTAGTAAGAAAAATTACAAAATATCATATAACCCTTGATTGCAAGCCACGTAAATCTCTTGGTTGTACCTTCTTACATCTTTAAGTTTTTTTTTCGGCTCAGACTGACATATTAAGATTAAGGATTAACCATAAGATTAAGGATCTCTAGAATAAGATTAGGGTCTCTAGGTTCACTTAAAAACAATAAAATCAAGAAAGTGACCATGAACACATGACCCCCGAATCAAGAGGAAGCAGAAAGCGGAAGTACCTGTAGCGTGTACCCAGAGAATATATCATGTAGATATCAAAGGGGTAAATATGTCATTTGTGGAAAAAAAAAACTAGCACCTTCCTTTGCCTGTAACAAGTAAAGTTCTACTTTGCCTTTTGCACTATGTTCCTACTAAAATATGCACTTAGTCTCAATCCCACACAATCTAAAAGGTAAGGTTTAAGGACATTTTTAACGGTAAACATATGTGCATCATTAAAAATGTAATGGGTAATTCTCTCACTTCACAATTGTATAGAAACAGTAATGTTCACATAAAATCATGGTAAATACTACATACTGAATAATACATAAGAATTATTGCATAAGTATACTGGAACATTAGGCTCTCAATTTATATTCCGATTAAACTTTTAAGTATTGAACATTACAAAAAAAAAATTTATACAAGGTAAGACAAAAATAGCTTCTGAAATTCTGTTTTTTCTTCTTGGATTCAGATAGAGTAATCTGGACAACTTGAGGCAAATGATCAAAGCATGACAGCATATTAATCCTCATGACCTACCCTGTCAATTTCCATAAAGTGTATTTTTTCCCTTTCGGATAACAAACCAAATTTATCAATAATAGAAAGGTCAAAGAAATGGTGCATAAGCAATTCGAGCAAGTACAAAAGGGTGGAACCCAAAAGTACAAGAAAAACCGAACAACATTTCATATTTACAAGATTATGGAACTTTTCCACATCGCCACCAGTACACCCATCCCTCAGATCAGATTGTGTAATGCCCCCCTTTTTTTTTTGTGTGTTGCAATTTCTTAGTTGATAAATAGCTTAAAGCAAGTCAAATGACAACAAAAGTGCTTCTCTTCTAAATAATCAAGATATTTCTTCTTGCTTTAGACCATAATTTATTTGAGATCTAAGTTTCATTACCCTTTTCCCCAAAAAGTTTGACAGATGTTTACCATTGACTGCAACAGGCACTGTGTAATCCACCACAATCAAATTTGGATAATCATTTAAGGTAGATGCTAGAATGCGTTCTCTTTCATAGGGACCATACATTTGAATATCTTTTCCACCCACTTGCACAGTTTTTCCAGCGTTTTTTAGACCACCAAATGATACTGGAACAATACGAATTCCTGCAGAGACAGCTGCTTCAACTACTGCCTTGCCCATTTTGCCAGTACAACCATTTACCTGCAAGAGATTATAAAAAAAAAAAAGCAGGCCCTACATCAACGAAGCCAAGCTACGCAATATCTAGTCTACTTACAAAATACATTCCAAATATATCTCAATCCATTTTTCGTTGAAAAAACTGATTTATGTTGAAAGCACCCCATAAAATATTGAGAAAAACGAGGTTGCTAGCCTTAATTAGTGCATGCAATAAGTGCCATTTAAAGATGCAATAAAATTGCATAAATTTTATCATCAACTTCATTCATTTTTCATTCACCGAAAACTTCATTCCTTTCTTTTTTGATTGTAAACCAATGAGTGTAAAATAACAATGATATTAAGGCATGCCAAAAGTGAAGGCAACTATCTAGGTCACCACAAACACTGGGGTGCGAAAGCATGGGAAGCAAACAAGATTTGATTGGAAGCACATTAATGCATTAGGCTATCACAGATTTCAAACTAATCCTAAAACTTTAGGCAGTAACCACGTAAGCATGAACAGTGAATCCTCAGAAATATGACCTCTGTTATATATGTGGTTCCCTACACAGGTTGTAATGGGTAAGAGCATGGAACAACCCCAAATGAAGTCACCCAGTGAAAATTGATCTTACTTCAAAATGAGGAGAAATAAACAAATAGTTTCTTTTTAAGTTGATGTTTGTGAAACAAAATACCAAATAAGGAGAGACCAAAAACACCTCCTCCAACATGCTACAAGGGTCAACTTTGGCACAAACTGAGATTTACTGTAAACAAGTCAAATAATAAAAAAACTAGGCCTCAACTTTACTAGGATAGTAAGAATTAACTCTAAAACCATGGCTCACCAAACAGTGGTGGAAGTTTACAGTTCCAAACAATACTATTGTGGTCAGGAAGCTTGTTTGAGTTATGATAGTCACAAGTCGTCAGGTACAATTAAGTCCAACATAGACTTACTCAAGAACTGTGATCAACATGCAACAAACATTGCACATATACATACTTGTATAGAATCATGGTTCAAGGTCGCGTTATCGGCCATCGACTTGGAGATCTCTGAAACACATCGATCGCAACATCAAGACACGGTATCGGGACGATACAACCTAAAAAAAATGTTCAACATGACAAGAGATTCAAGTTATACTGCGGCACCGCAGAATTGTATCGGCCGATTCGGTGACGACAACTCGGCAACTCGGGATTGACTCGGTTACAACTCGGCCAATTCGGTCGAATCGTTCGAGACTCGGGACTTATATGTATCGTGTAACAGTATCATTTCGGAATGTGCTGAGTCGCATACGGCTCAGCCAAATCGTGTAGTTATCGACCGATACTTTGAACCATGTATAAAATCTTAAATGACATCAACGTTACATATGGACTACACATATGTAACACTGCACCTGTTTAAGCCTATCATAGCATCATAAACTTTATCTAATTAAACTAGAAAATATTAAAGTGGAAATTATTGAAAACCATAATTTCCATACCTAATTTGTCAAAAGTCCAAACATTGGCTCAACTTTTTTGACATAGTCGAAACTAACTTAATAAAAAAAAAAATTATTACTGGCGTACCTTTGGCCCTCTAGAATAGCACCTGTGGGTCCAAGATCCTGCACGATATAAACACTAGAAGAGATCTCTTCCGTGGTGAACACGTGTTCGAAATTGGGTGGTTGATCTTGCTAGTTGAATAGGTTGTGAGGGTCGAAGGTGGATAATCAATCGTTGATACGAGTCGCCTGAGTGATCCTGGAAAATTGAAGGAGGTTCCTGGAACAACGGAAAACAAATTAGAAGGGCGCTGGAGTGTTTTCCGGCGTATCCCCTCCGACGGTCAAGTCAGTTCTTTTTAGAGAGGGGAAGAAGAAAACATTATACAATGATTGAGAGAGGGTTCGTTGCGTACCCCTTTTCTGTGTTTGTGAGGATTATTTATACATTAAAACTCATCATTGCCGACAGCGTAGCTAGTAGATAATCATTGGGAGTGGGCAGTGTGCACACCAATTTCTATGAGTAATGATCTTATTCTTTACTGCTCGGGGCCCCAAGCAATTAATGTTTTCTCCTCGGTCTACCGAACATTTAGTAATCTTCTGTCAGTGGGGGTGTATTAAATGCCCAGGCTTCGAGACATTTATTACCTTCCACTTCCGAGCCCTCAGTAATTAAATGTTGTCTCATCAAGGGAAATGTGCATTAAATACTTGCTTTCCCAAGTCGTGTGTCAGCAAGAGCATTCTGGTTTTTTTTGTCTCTGATCTGACATAATAAGCCACGTGTCCATTCCTTTTTGGTTGAGCCTTCTGCTTTCTTGTGCCTCCTGACACCATTTGAATAGGACGAGGTCATGATGGCTAGTCTAGCCTTGCCTAGGCTAGTGATCTGTCCATCAATAGCCCCTGCAGGTGCAGAAACGCCAACGCGATAGATACCCCTCGATGCCGAGGGACTAGCATGATTTAGGACCGATGTTCCCAAAACTGTCGAGGAATACGTGTCAGTCCATGGTGATTTGGGGATCCCTGATCCCTGTAAATAACATCCTCGGGACAGGGAGTTAAAAAACTACGAAGACGTGTCAGTATTAGAGCAGGTGTCTCCATTGACGCCAAGTATATGTGTCATCATCTAGGAGTGTCTGGAAATGTCCCATCAGCACCATTGGATTCTTCGCGGTATCAGCTCTCAACTTGAAGGGCACTGATACACATCGGTCGCGATATGGTTCCAAAAAAATCTAATAAAATTACAAAAAATCTAAAAAAAATATAAACAATATAATTCAAGCATCATATGTCTTAAATAGATAAGATTTAAATCGTAATTATTATCTCTAAGTTAACCATACAAACAAGGTAAGTTATTTTCATCATAAGGATAAATCTAGATCTAATATAACTTCATAAGGATAAATCTAGATCTAATATAACTTTAACACTTATTTATACATAGTCAAAAAAGTTAAAAAAAAATACAAAAAACATTATGTTAACTTGTGTTTTAGAATATATAAAGTTTTTGAGAAATTTTATCTTACTTATAAATTACTTATGCATTATGTTTTTAATTGTAAAATCACTTTTATATGTACATAATTAATAGAATATAATTTTATTAAAATCCAATACTCTTATTTGTCTAATATAATAATACTTAGTATAATAATCATTGACTCAATTGAGAGACTTAAACCAAGACACAAAATCTCTTAAACAACGGCAATGACAAAGACGGTGACAAGAGAGAGAGAGACCTTATCCGCTTACCGTCGACATTGCCTGTGCGAAGAAAAAAAGAGGGGTTGCTGCTTTGACGCTCGAATGGAGAAGAAAGGGTTGTAGTCGCTGCTCTAACGCTCAAATTGAGAAGAAGGAGTTGTACAGTATAGCCAGTACTACAACCACTGTATGTAACCGTACATGATCTAGAGGTTTTTCTCCAAATCCTTTCAATTTCTATTTTTGGGTTTTTTTATTACTACTACTTTAGTTTCTACATCTTTAGGTCTTGGAATCTACATGTGGAATTGGTCTTCTTCTTCTAACCTTCTTTTTTTTCTCTGGTTTTTACATTGATTTATTGATGACTCCGTATGACTCCGTAAGACTCGGTTCGATTGAAACGATTCGCCTCCGATTTAAATCGATATCTCCGAGTCATGACCAAGTCAACGCCGATTGGCTTGAGTTTCATGTTATTCGCGTATCGTGTAGCAGTATCAGCGCGATAATGGTCAAGGTGGATACAACTCGACCAAGTCATATCTAACTTGGTCGATACTTTTAACCTTGACAAGCATCTAAAATAGCATCCAATTCTTTTATTCTTCTAGGGCTCTGCATTTTTCCTCTTTCCATTCTTTTTATCCACACAAAAGCTTCCAAGATCCACGTGGATTTTAAAGATTCACCGATCGGAAACGGAAGGCAAGAAGCCATTTCGTGTCATTTTTGTTCCTGTTAATGTTAGGTTCGACATTTTTGAATCTTGCTATGACTTTTCTCGTCCTCTCAACAACTTTCTTTGAATTTCTTTTGGCAGAATGCTATGCAAGGGTCTGCTCAAGAATTGGTCAAAATTAGATAATTCCCACTTTGTTGTTGAGACAGTATCCGATGGCATTACCAATCTTTGTGAGTAATTTTATTTTTCTTGTGTTAACTGTTAAGTTTTTTTTTCCCTTGTACCAATTGGGTTTCCAACTAAAATCACCCATGGGCCATGGCTCAAGCATGGTCTAAAGTATCGGTCAATACCGGTACGAGTTGGCTGAGTCATATCTGACTCGACACGTTTTGAGGCAATACTGGTACACGGTACATATAAATCCCGAGTCTCGTACGACTCGGCCGAATTAGCTGAGTTGTATCTTAGTCAATCTCAAGTTGCCGAGTTACTATCACCGAATAAGCCAACACAATTCCGTGGCGCCGCGGTATGACTTGAATCTCTCATTAAGATCAATATTTTCTTAGAGGTCGTAGCACCTGATACCACGTCGCTACACCACGATCGATGTGTATCACATCTCTCTGAGTCGATGACTGATAGCGCGACCTTGAACCATAGGTTCAAGGTTGCGGTATTGACAATCGAATCGAAAGCTCTGAGACACATCGGTCACGGCATCGAGGCACTGTATCGAATGAAATGACCTAAAAAAAAATATTCAGATCATGTTATTGTGTCGCGGAATCGTATTGGACGGTTCAGTGACGATAATTCGACAATTTGAAATTGACTCGAATACAATACAACTCGACCAACTCGGCTGAATCGTGCAAAACTCGGGGTTTATATGTATCATGTAATGGTATCGTCTCGGAAGGTACTGAGTCAGATACAACTCAACCGAATCACATCGATATCGACCAATACTTTGAATCATGAAATCACTGGACCTATTGCGATAATAGGTGAGGTGTGGTTTCATTGTCCGATCGAATCTCTCTGATCTCACTGGCAGTGGATTGTGCGGCGGGAATGATTGCCTCTTCGGCTATGTCATATGTGAGATTTCTTGGATGTACCGTCCTGGTTCAAGGTCGCGGTATCGACCATCGACTCAGAGAACTCTAAGACACATCGATCATGGCGTCGCAATGCGATATCGGGCGATACGACCTAAAAAAAATATTGAACATGAAAAGAGATTCAAGTTATACCGTTGCGTCACGGAATCGTATCAGCCGATTCGGTGATGATAACTCAGCAACACGAGATTGACTCTGATACAACTCAACCAACTCAATCAAGTCGTGCGAAACTCTGGGCTTATATGTATCGTATAACAGTTTCGTCTTAGAAGGTGCTGAGTTGTATACGACTCGGCCGACTCGTCTTGATATTGACTGATACTTTGAACCATGTGCACTGTTGATGTTGTTGTTTTCCTCTTCAGATCTACACTCAAGATCAGAAGATCTCACCATTCAATGAGGTTGTTTCTTCTGGTTTGTTCTTGAGTTTGTGACCGTGCAATGATCGTATATATAGCTTGCTATACATATAGAGTATGGATTTGTCTTTGTTTTCTAGATTTCTAAGATTTATGTAGGTTAATTGCTTTGTGATATTGTAATACCTCGTTTCTACTACTCTACGATAGTTATTTGGATTTGTTGACTACGAAGTTTTTGTATAGATCTTATGCAATGCATGTCAGTTAGACGTTCCATCTAATGGTGATCCAGATTCATATCTTTTTTTC